CCTTTTGAGCCTCTTTCAATGGGCTGTCCATTTGCCGAAGCCGTTCTTAGTCCGCTTCTGGACCTCTCTTTTGATCTAAGTCCGCTTGTAGACTTCCCTTAAAACGGACTTTCTTTCTGCTTTTTTTTTTTAAGCGTATTTATGGTGTGATTTGATTTGGATATTAATATTTTTTTAAACTAATTTAATTTAATCAGATTATAAAATTTAAATCAATTCAATCTACTATTATATGATAATCAAACTAATTCAACTTTAAATTGGATTAATGTAATTTGGTTGAATTAATCAATTTTTAACACTATTAAATATATAAAATAATGTAAACAAATTTTAATATCAAGTATAAAACATAACTATAAAACACATTAATATCCAAATCAATAGAAATATAATAAAATATATAAATAATAAATAAATTCTTATATTCATTTACAATTGTAAAGATTGAAAAGATCTAAAAATTCATCTTGACTACATCACTAGAAGCATTAAAAATAATAAAGGGTGACTTTAAGTTTTAAGTACAATGCAAATAATTTTTAAAGGTTGAAACTGGTTCTTTTTTTTTAATGCATCAATAATTCAATCTCATACTTCAAACCCTGTTAAAAATAAACAAAATTTAATATGAATATTTACTAAAATTGATTAAAAGTATTCATAATTAAGATTTAAAATTCTTCAACCAAACATTCAAGAATAATTAAATATTAGACTATTTCTATTATATAGTTTTAAGATTTTTAGAATAATACTTTTTTAAAACTTAACTAAGAGAATTATAACATTATTTTAAGAACAAATTAAAAATTTAGGATTCTAAAAGTTGACTCATAAATTAGTTCTAAAGGATAGAGTTGTAGTTGAATTAAAATTTAAAATGAAGGTTAGAGTGCATATTAAGAAGGAAAAAAAAAAAGAAATATGAGGATGTTCAATTTTTATTTTTTAATTAAATTAATAGAGTTATTATCTTGTAAAATAAGAAAAATAAAATTTAAAATACTACAAAAAATATATTATATTATTTAATTAAGTTATTTGATAACATTATTTATTTTGTAATTGGACAATTTGGACAATTTAAAAATAAAATTATAAATCAAATCAATTATATCAATTTTAAAATTTTATAATTCAAACTAGTTTAATTTTATATTAGTTTAATCTAAATTATTTTTTTATTAAATTAGATCAGTTTAAATTAGATTAATTGAATTGAATGGATATGAACACCTCTATTTTATAGTCCATCCATGGGAGCGAGTTTGTTTAAAACTCAAACTCCCTTTGTCCAGCTACATCTCATCTTTTTATTTGTAAATCAACTTAAAATCAAAATAGGATTCTAAATTTTAAACAAAAATTCAGATAAATTTTTATCCAGACCCTACCAGTCATATTTCTATAAATTCATTCTGTTGGGTGAGCAAAGTCATAAAGTAGCAGTAGTTTCGACCGCAGCAGCACAATAAATTCTATTTTCATCATTTTTTTAAAAAATATAAATTTCATTACCCAAATCTTGTGATTTTTAAAGAGTCTTATGCACTGTTTTCTCACAATATAAACTGGTGAAGATTATTTAATTGATTTCTTCTTTTTTCTTTTAACTGGCTAAACCAAAGAAGTCAATCCTGTACCGACCGGTACGTATCAGTTTTGATACTTGACCGAAACGGTACAATATTAAATTTCGTTTCGGTCAAAATTCGATCGTTTCGATCAAAATCCGATGTACCGGCCGGTACACAAAATTCCGGCCGGCACACTTCATGCCCCCCCCAAAGAATAACAAATTTTTTCTTTTTCTTTAGACCATCAAGTCTCGACCCCAACATTCTTGCTGCATGCATCACCTTGTCTTTTCTTTTTGTAGAACTTGCTTGCACTCTTGCTTC